ATTAATAAATGCATTAAAGATAGCCAGAAATTACAGAGCATGAGTAGTGGAACAGCTCATAAGTCCAAATGGAAAGCCTGAAGAGTCAGATGGGGAGACAAAGGGAACACAGAAGCTTGGGGGGGGGTGCATAAAAAAGTGCAACAAAGAAATAGTGAGAGGAGATGAGTCTGAACCCAGGTCCTCTGTAAAAGCAGTCAGTGTTCTTAACCACTGAGCCATCTCTCCACCCCCTATTATTTTCATTTTTTATGTATATGAGTATATTGCCTGCATGTATGTAAGTGCGCCTATGTTGTACAATGTCCACAGAGGTCAGAAGATAGCATTGGATTCCCTGGAACTGGAGTTACAGAGGTTGTTAGTTGCCATGTGGTTACTGGGAATCAAACCCAGATTCTCTGCAAGAACAGCCAGTGTTCTTAACTGCTAAGCCATCTCTCCAGCCCCACAATGTTTTTCCTTATAACAAACAAACTACTCGCTAACTTTTCCTCCCAAGACGGGATCTCAGGTAGCCAGACTGGCCTTGAACTTCTGATCCTGTTGCCCCCACCTCTCAAGTACTGGGATTACAGGTTTGCACACCCATGTTCTTGGGGCCAGTGAGATGGCTCAGTAGGTAAGAGGGCTTACTGCAAGTCTGATGACCTAAATTTGATTCCTAGGACCCACATGGTAGGCGAGAATTGACTACCACAAGTTGTGCTGGCACATACATCTCATGCAAATACACATACACACATACAAAATAAACATAAAACACACCCACACCAAACAAATGCAAAATTAACTGCTTTTGGCCAATTTCCTGTCCTACAAAATCGAAGGGGACTAAACAATTTCTTTAAAAGTATATTCATGTTGGTAACTCCAGTCCCAGGGAATCCGACAGTCTCTTCTGACCTCCATGGGCACTGCACACACGGGTGCACTTACCTACATGCAGGCAATACACGCATACACATAAAATAAAAATAATAATAAAAAAATTTTAAAGGTATATTCATGGCCCACTGATGACAAAACAGGCATGATGGCTCATACTTATAATTCCAGCACTTGGAAGGTGGAAGGAGGATTGCTGCACATATCAAGACGTTGCCTCAAACAAACAACAGAAAACATTAAAAGACAAAAACAATAAAGAAGCTCATTTAGAAAACTCCAGTGTAGCTTCTGCACAGGCCGCACCATCTGACTGACAATGGCGCTTCAACAACTCAATCTTTTAAAAGAGGCTGATTTATAAGTAATAAAAAATGTAAATTCAAAGCAGATATGATAGCACACTCTATTTCATAGTTTTTCCCCTACATACAGATGTGTGGATATTCAATATGATAGAAGGGGGAAAGAGTACTTCAGATTTCATATTTCAAGGATCCCCCAAGGAGTCGCCTATCCAACCTAAACTATATACAGCAGCTATAACTCTGGATCACAGTAATACCACTGAGTTCTCCAGTGGCAAATTAGAATGAAAAATAAAATTTATGTAACCTTCTTAATTGTTCAAAATAATAAAATATTTACTCTAATTCTGAAATGTTCGGTGCTAAGTAACAGCAGCCTGGGCCAAAGGGAGAGATAGTCTTTCAGAATGGTCCAGAGGTTGCTATTCCCCAGGGTGTAATAAGCTTGAGGGCCTGGGTGCAGCAGCAGGAGCTAAGAACCTTGGAGCAGAGGCTGGAGAGATGGCTCAGCGGTTAAGAGCACAGACTGCTCTTGCAGAGGACCCAAGTTTGAATCTCAGCACCCACATGGCAGCTAACAACTGTCCTTAACTTCAGTTCCTGGGGATCCCATGCCCTTTCCTGACCTCCGAGGGCATTGAATGGCACGGGTGCACTGCTCTGCTTCTAGCACCCTTGTAACTCACAACCCCCTGTAACTCTGGCTCCAGGGAATCTGATGCCCTCTTCTAGCTTTCTTGGACATCCATATTCACATGCACAAACCCCCACACATACATACACATAATTAAAAATAAAATAAATCTTGCCGGGCATGGTGTTGCACACCTGTAATCCCAGCATGTGGGAGGCAGAGGCAGGAGGATCTCTGTGAGTTCAAGGCCAGCCTGGTCTACATAGTGAGTTCCAGGACAGCTGGAGCTACAGGGAGACTGTCTCAAAAAGACCAAAAAAAAAAAAAAAAAAAATTTTTTTAAAAATAACAAAAGAGGGGCTGGAGAGATGGCTCAGTGATTAAGAACACTGTTCTGGCAGAAGACCTGGGTTCGAATTCCAGCACCCACATGGCAGCTAACAACTGTCTGTAACTCCAGTTCCAGGGGATCCAATGACATCTTCTGTCCTCTGTGGGCACTGCACAACATGGGTTCACTTACCTACATGCAGGCAATACACTCAAACACATAAAATAAAAAAAATAATAAAATATTTAAAACAACAACAACAAAAAATCCTGTAGAGGAAACATCACTCAAAATTTCTTTCTGTAGTAGTCAGGTATAGCCTGACAACTGAGCTTTTTCCTCCCTGAAGTACATAAACAGCTGAGTAGCAGAATAAGGTGAGAACATTTTTTTTTTTAAAGACAGGATCTAGATATATAGCCCCAGTTGGCCTCAAACTCAAGATCCTCCTGTTTCAGTCTTCTCAATGGTGTGATTATAGGCATGGCTCAACATGCCTGGCTAAGGTAAAGAATTTTTTTTAAAAACCTTTTTGAGACAGGGTCTCCCTGTAGTCCCAGCTGGCCTGGAACTCACTATGTAGACCAGGCTGGCCTTGAACTCACAGGGATCTGCCTGCCTCTGCCTCCAGAGTGCTGGGATTAAAGGCATGCGCCACCATGCCTGGCTAAGGTAAAGAATTCTTATGTATTTGGGAAGAATAATCTCTCAAGATTTTTTAAGACACTGGGTCTACTCTAACACAGGTTTTGGGCTCATTAATGCTGTGGAGCTGACACTCTCTACCCTTCTAATAGAAGCAGTCAGAAAGGATGAAGGAAGGGGTCAAGTGTGGTCTAATCTAGCCAGGAGTCTCAGAAGTTTAAAGCCAACCTCAGTTACACAGCTACTTAGAAGCCAGCCTGGGCTTGTAAGATCCCATCTCAAGAAAAAAAAAAGACGAAAGAAAAGCCAAGCATAGTATCTTATATAGTACCAGGTATTTGGAAAACTGAGGCAGGAGGATTACTTGAGCCTACAAAGAAAGTGATACTTTTAGTATCACTTAGGACTCTGATCCAACAATAGGAATGTACACAATGCCAGCTTCAAGAAAGGCTACTGTTAATATCCTAAGGACAAAAGACCACAAACACAAAACAGTGTAGTCCACATACAACTGAAATTCAAACTTCATAGACTATAGAAGACGAAGAAGTTACAGCACTTAATGTCTGAACGTGAAAAGTGAAAGATTCTAAAAATACTGGGAGAAAGAATTACTTCAAGAATTTTTTGTATTGTCAGCCAAGCACAGTGGCTCACACCTATAACTAGAATCTCAGCACTTGGGAGGCTAAAACAGGAGGATTGTGTTGAGTTTGAGGCCAGCCTGGGCTATATAGTGAGCTCCTGGCCAGTCAGACACACAGAAGTGAGATGCTACCTCAAAACAAACAAACAAATAATAACGAAGATCTTCCTGTATTATCTATGCACTTAAAAACCAGAAAACTAAATGAAAAATCAAATTAGTTGATTTTATAATAAATTAAGCAATTTTATTGAGGCAAATTATAGTTCTTCCATTGGAACAAGAACATTCACTACTTGCTGTGGAAAGCAACTTTAGGTCTATTAAATTATTTAAGACTAAGAGAGTATTACTACAGTCCATCAGAGTACAAGTATTCCCAATTTACATATGCTGGGGGCTGATAAATACTGTTTGAATGTTAAACTTCATTTTATTACATAAACATTTTAAAATTTACTATTCAAAGTATTTTGCTAGACTTTAGGGTGAGAGACTGAACAGAAAGGCAGTATCAATCTGTCTCTAGGAAGTTACTATGGGGAAAAGCTCTTGAAATCAAATGAGAACATTTACCCCTATCTTCCATCCAGGTTCTCAGTCTTTCAGGGCTTTGCTTTTGTTGTTGGGCTTGATTTAGACAATGAAGAGCTGGGGATTTTCCTCCTTTGAAGTTAATGCTATCATTGTGAGGGATGTTAAATCAATCTTCCCAAAGAAAGCTTTGTGTCTCACTAAAGTATTACCCAGTAAAATAAATGTGGCATTTAAATTTTTTTCTTAACGTCAGGTGTGGTGGTGCACGCCTTTAATCCCAGCACTCGAGAGGCAGAGGCAGGTAGATCTCTGTGAGTTCAAGGCCAGCCTGGTCTACATAGTGAGTTCCAGGCCAGCTGGGGCTACAGGGAGACCCTGTCTCAAAAAGACCAAAAAATAAAGCAATAAATAAATAAAGCAAATAAATAAATAAATAAATTTTTTAAGACCGGGTCTTGCTGTGTAACTTTAAGCTAGCTTTGAACTCTTGATCCTCCTGTTTCAGCTTCCTGAGTGTTGCGGTAACAAGGCATGTACCACACTGCCTGACTCAGAATTTCTTTTCTAATACGAAAGCAGGATTTAAAAGATGAAAAAAATTTTAAGGGTAATTAAGGGGCTGGAGAGATGGCCTTGCAGTTAAGAGCACTGGATGCTCTTGCAGAAGACCCAGGTTTGAATCTCAGCACTTACATGGTGGCAAACAACTGTCTGTAACTCCAAGGGGATCCTATGCCCTCTTCTGTCTTCTTCAGGCATTGCATGACACAGGTGCACTTACATACATGCAAGCAATAACACTCAAACACATGAAACAGATAAAAAAATGGCCACCATATAACTAGCAGTGCAAGGAACAATTTGAATGCTTTGCTTACATCTACCAAGTTACTGTAGATCTTAGGCTGTAGGTCTTGGTTTAAGAAAATGACATTCCCAGGCATCACCAGGTCAGGGATCCTCACCAAATATTTGTCAGTCTCACAGGCTCAGCCTTTCCACACCCACCTCATCATCACTGTCCGACGTCTCTGAGTCTGACGAGGCTGCAGGCTGACTCATAGGAGGCTCCTTCTCCTCAGAGTCACTGCGCTTCCGCTTTGCCAGGGACAAGAGCTCCTAATTGGGCAGAAATAGTCACATCAGTTTTACTCAAAAGAGAAAGAATAACAAAATGCCCACCCTCCTGGATCTCTTCTACATGCCCGTGCTCCCATCTGAAGTACATAATGATAGGACTTAATACATGAAGAGAAGACAGAATACCAGTATTCACAGGTGCAAAAATTAGCTTCAAAAATCTGTCCACTCCTTCAGGGGAAATAAAATAAATAGGAACTGGAACTGAAAGCTACCTTCAAATTGTCACTGATATCTCTATGGAAGTATTGATCATTAGTATGGAATGATAAGAGCTATGCTTCAAGGTAATTTGCTCATCTTTAAATGGCATACAGTCAATACTCTAAGGATCTTTTACTGTATTTAATAGTAAAATTAGCATTTGAAGCTATTCTAATAAGCTTACAAACTGTAAGTTTCTGAGGTCATTCTAATTTTGAATACTTAAACCAGAAAAAAAGGAGGTATATTTCTGACGTATAATCCAGAGTCTACATTTAAATATAAAATGTCCTGACCAGAATCCTAGTTTGACAATCCCAACATTTCCATCCCAGACTATCTTGGTGATTTAAATGAGATCAAAGGGTAAAGATCTGTCCTGTCACATGGTTCTTTTCCATTACTTCTCCCATACTTCAGTTACTCAAACACAAACAGAGGGTCACTTGCTCTGCTCTATGCAATAATACCACCAGCTGACAATCAGGCTGTTCTGGCTGGGTGTCCGGAACTTTTCTGAGTATTTGACATTTATGCTTCACAAATTCACAATAAGCATTGTTATCATCCCCATTTAAAGATCAAGAAGCTGGGGCTGGAGAGATGGCTCAGATGGTTAAGAGCACTGAGTGCTCTTGCAGAGGACCCAGGTTCGATTCCCAGCACCCACATGGTGGCTACGAACCATCCTTAATTTCAGTTCCAGGGGAATCCAAAGCCCTCCACAGCATTGCATGACACTGGTGCACTCACATACATGCAGGCAACATATTCATATACATAAAAATAAATATAATAAATAAAATAGTAAATAAATAAATAAATAAATAAATAAGGATCAAGAAGCCATCTGGAGAGCTGGTGAAATGGCTCAGTGCTTGCTGTACAAGCCTGACAACATGAGTTGTCCCCAGAACCCATGTAAAGGTGGAAGGAGAGAACAAAGTAAAGGTGGAAGGAGAGAACAGACTCCACAAAGTTGTCTTCTGACTTCTACATGTGTATCATGGAACATGTGTTCCCAAACAAGCATCATACATACACATAATAATTTTTTACAGCAGCATGTGGAAGAAGAGAGGTTAAATAATTTTCTCAAGCTGTGTAACTTAACCTAGTAACACAGCCCATACATGAGAGAACCAGGATTTGAACTCAGGCAGCAGAATCCTGGCTCCTAATTTAGTCATGATTTACTAGTCTAAAACATTTCCTCTTGTGCCAAAAAACAGAAGGTACCGCTAATCAATACTGGTGGTAGTACTCCTTGATGATGGTGATGCTATGCAATGAGAAGTGAAATGCCAAGACAGACTTAAAATAATAGACTGCTACCAACTGTCTGTTTTCTTCTGCCAGTCTCTTTCTATTTTAGGAGTACCCTCCTTCCTTGGCCAGAATAAGCAAATGACCTTCTCAGATTAAACAGCTGGCACGCTTTCTTCTTCATAAGCCGCCATGAGCTGTTACCCTTCTCATTTTATTGAAGGACTAGCACACCAGCTTCCTGAAAAGGCTGTAAATCATACGAACATTCTTCCTTCACACCAGAACAGTAACTCCCATTGACCAAATGTGCAGTACACCAATATTTACACTTGCAGTTTTTAAAAAACCCAAGGTATTATTTACATAGAGTGTATTTTTTTTTTAAACTCTTCTATGGGTTTGGCAAATACATACATTCTAAAACTGCCCAAATCAATCACTACCACCCCTGTACTTCATCTGATCCACGTGAAAACCTTCACTATTATCTTGATATTTCATTAGGAGAATGTAGTGTAGGGTACAACCATGACATCAAATTCAAGCTGAACCAAAGATGTGCTTAAACTACTACAGATGCACGTGGAGAAGCCCTACCTAGCTTCCACAGTAGTTTCATTAGCACTGCTAAAAACCCACCATTTAAACTGGAGAGCCTAAACTATAACCCAAAATAAAGAGGTGGGACTAGCAGCATATGCCTCTAATCCCAGGCACTGGGGAGGTTGTGACAGGATTTTAAATTCAAGGACTTCCTGAACTACAGAGAGCGTTCAAGGCCTGTCTAAGAAATTTGGTAAGACCCTTTCTCAAAATAAAACAGAGGGACCAGAGAGATGGTTCTGTGGTTAAGAGCACTGGCTGCTCTTGCAGAGGACCTGGGTTCGATTCCCAACACCCACATGATGGCTAATGACTGTCTATAACTCCAGTTCTAGGGGAATCTGACACCCTCTTCTGACCTCTTTGGGCACTGCACAACTCAGGTACACTTAACACACATGTAGGCATTACATACATACACATAAAAATAAACAAATAAATAAATAAAACATAGAAAAAAGGGTTGGAACTATATATAGCTCAGTAGTACAGCATTTGTCTCACATGTACAAAGTCTTATGTATAATTCCTATTATTTAATAAAACAAAAATCAGAGAGAATAAAAGCTCACACATATAAAATTCATGAGACTTTATAACTAGCATGCTAAGTTATTTTCACTTAACTCTACAAACATAATGTCTACCAGTTAGGACCAAACATCCCAGTTTTCCCAGGACTATCCTGGGTTTAGCACTGAAAACTGGAATGGATGCTCATCTTGCTACCAGTACTCATTATGTTCCAAGTACTGGGTAGATAGTAACAGAGAAAAGACACATTAAGTCCTGGACCTCAAAAGCAGGAGACAGCCAAGAAAATAGAGAATCAAGAACAGACAATGCCAAGTGCTAAGAAGGAAATTAATCAAGAGAACCATGGGCCTGTCTGTAGCAGGTAGAGTAGGAGATGCTGACATTAGAAACTTCCAGAGAGGAAAGAAGGGTATATGGGCTCTGGACAGTGACCTCTGGGACAGCTGAGACCCTGAAGCCAATAACAGTGTGGCTTTGTGAAAGAACTCAAAGAGAAACTGTAACTGATGCTTAGAAAGCAAGGAGAAGAATGAAATGAGGTGGGTCAGATAAGAAGAAACTATATCAGGGCTGGAGAGATGGCTCAGGGGTTAAAAGCACTGGATGCTCTTGCAGAAGACCCAGGTTCAGACCCTAGCACCCACACAGCAGCTAATAACCATCCATAATTCCAGTTCCAGGGGATTGAGTGCCCTTTTGTGGCCTCCAAAGGCATTGCACACATGGGTGCATTTACATACATGTGGGTAAAACACTCATACAAATAAATGAAAAATCAATCACAGGTTTGCAAAGCAGTCAGGAGTAGGAATTTTGTTGGAAGGCAGTGGGAAACCATCAACTGGTTTAAGCAGAGAGGCAACTTTAGCCACGGAAGATTATCAAAAGAGTACTTGGGACTAGAGGGGCCAGAGAAGGGCATAGGAGCCAGTCAGAGGATCACACTACAGTGTAGGCAGAGTAGATAGTGGCCTGACAAAGTAAGCAGCTGCAGGGATGAAGAGGACTTGGAGGACTCGAGAGGTACTAAGAAAAGAATAATAATCCACAATAATTCTGCAGAGGAACGTGATTCAAACAGTAGACACTGGTTATTTATTAAGAAGGAAGGGAAAGTGAGGTATGGTAAAGCACATCTATAATCTCAACACTTGGATGGAAGACTCTAAGCTCAAAGCCAGCCTGGGCTACATAGCAAGTGAGATTCTTTCTGAAAACAAAATAAAACAAAGCTGAGTGTAATGACTTAGTTCTGTAATCTCAGCACCTGGGAAGCCGAGGTAGGAGGACTGCTATTGATTTTGAGGCTATACAGAATGAGTTCAAGGTCAGTCTGGGCTAGAGTGAGACCTTGCCTCAAAAAGCAAGCAAGCAAACACAAAAGAGTTACAAGGAAGCCACTATGAGTATGTATGCTTATGGAAAAGGGAGGTATTTGTATATTAGAACTATTTCAACAAACACTATTTTCTGATTCTGTCATTTGTTTCTGTCCCCCTCTAGAACTGAAGACCAGACTCAGGACTCTATCACTGAGCTAATTCCCCAACCCCATATGTACTATTTTTAATAATTATAAAATGAAACAAATCAAAACATACAAAAACCTTCCTCAAGAGTTGGAGGTATACAGGGCTAGAAAGATGGCTCACCAAGGTAAAGGTGCTTGTCATCAAGTCTGACAACCTGAGTTTTATTGCCAGGCATGGTGGCGCACGCCTTTAATCCCAGCACTTGGGAGGCAGAGGCAGGCAGATATTTGTGAGTTTGAGGTGGGCCTGGCTGGAGTTACAGGCAACTGTGAGATGCCATATGGGAGCTGGAATGGAACTCAGGTTCTCTGAAAAAGCAGCAAGCGCTCTTAACCACTGAGTCATCTCTCTAGCCCCACAGATTTTTATAAAACATTTTAAATATTTTGCCAGGTGTGGTGGTGCACACCTTTAATCCTAGCAGTCGGGAGGCAGAGGCAGGTGGATCTTAGGTGAGTTTGAGGCTATCCTGGTCTATGAGTTCCAGGCCAGCTGGAGCTACAGGGAGACCCTGTCTCAAAAAGACAAAAATAGAAAAAAAGAAATTATTATTCTACATGTATGAGTGTACTGACTGCATGTATGTAAGTACACCCATGTCATGCAATGTGCTTGGAGGGCGGGATATTGGATTCCCTGGAACTGTAGCTATCATGGTCATTAGCAGCCATGTGGGTGCTGGGAAGTGAATCTGGGTCCTATGCAAGAACAGCCAGTGCTTTTAACCACTAACCCAGCTCTCCCACCCCCATAAAACATTTTTATTACATTTATTCGTGTGTATGGGATCACATGCCATGGCATGTGTTTCAAAGTCAGAGAACAACCTTCAGG